GTCAATCTAAGTACTTGAAACAGCCCTGGATTTCTCATGAAATTCTATAGCACTTATATTATGCATTCAGACAAAGTAATAATACTTAATATTAATAAAAATATTAATTGAAGATGCATCCAATTAATCGGATTAATTTCTGCACGGAAAGAGAAATTCGAAGAAATTTTTGCTAAATTAAAGCCCTGGATTGAGAGAGGAACCTCGGCGTGTATTTGTCTGAGGAATCAGCAAACCCTAGCCTGGGCTATGCCTTTGTTTTGCAGTTACGGAACGCAACAGAACACTCTGTCTTGGTGAGTTTGCTGCGCGAGTCTCGATTCTCAAGAGTCAAGAGTCAAAACACGACTCGGGCACCTTGCACGTGCAGCTCACGTGTTTAAGATTCAGTGCGGCCGGTGGGCATGGTTCAGTTTTGGTTGTAGCCGATAACCGAATTACTGGGTAGTTAAAATTTTGAGTATTAAATTTTTTAAAAAAAAAACCACTAATCAAACCGGAAAAAATAAATTTTATAGGTTTTGATTAATTTTTTTAGAATAGCCATTTAGATTGGTTATGATTTTACAGTAATCAAAAAAATTATTTCTATATTGTTTAATTTTTTTAATTTCTTAATTATTATTTAGGAATTTTAATTATTAAAAAAATTAAAAATTAACAAAGTAAATAAATAATATAGCAAAAAGCGACAAGAAAATCTTTAAGAAATCTTAAAATTATCAAAAAAATTTATATAAAAAGTTTTTGAATTGAATTTCTTAGTTATAATCACTCTAGTTATTATTATTATTATTTTTAGACATAGTAACAAAAACTCAATCCATTTGACATCAGTTTGGATTGGTTTTTAGTTTAAAAAACTCAAAATTCAGTTAAACCCTGCCTCTCACTTATAGTTTCAATCAGTTTTGGATTTTTTAGATTACGGATTTGTTCACCCACCACTAAATGTGGGTGTAAATTTGACGTAGTTATGATCACCTATTAGTTTGTTAAGGCCACACAATACTATTCAAAAAATATTAATTTTATTTGATTTGAATGTTAAGAATAGTTAATAATTGAAATAATAATTGATATTTATCATTTTATAAATTGAAATTAAGCTATAAACTAATATTTCTATATATCATAACTAACTGTTTAAGAAAAAAAACTACAAATATTAGTTAAACTTAATACAAATTTGTGTAACCTTAACAAAGTGTTGGATAACCATAATCACGCATGCTAGCGAACACCTATAATTTAGGTTAAAGTTTCATGGTTTGCAGTTCAAATAATATTGAATTGTAAAATATAGAATATTAAATGGGGAGAGAATTTTGATATCAAGGAACTTATTTTATTAATAATTAATGTTATATAATTTAATACAATCTAAACTACACGTTACTTATTTTTTTGATAGGTTATTATTTAGGAGTGGGGTTATTATCATACCCTAAATAATTAATGCCACACATTTTTAATATAATTGTCTATTATACCTTTTTATTACATTTTTTTCAAAAATTTATATTTTTTTGTTTCTTAATAAATCAAAGAGTATAATGGTCAATTAAGATAAAAAAGTGTGATATTAATAATTAAAGGTATAGCAATAATATCACTTATTATTTAATACAT